GGGAACAAATCCTCATTCCCCTCATTAAATGCAATATTATCTTCGAAAGTTACAATGTCACCCTCCAACATCGCAATGTTGTCCTCAAGTGTTGCAATCTCATTTGAAAATGGCATTACACCTTTTACAGTTTCACTTGATCGTTGTATTGTTGGACAGGGGCAAGTAATTGGTTCATGCATATGTTGATCAGAAGTATGCAGCCAATTGTTCTATGAATGCTGTGCGTCTATCGGGCTGCACAAACTATTATGCATACATCAATTACCATTATTGTGGGTTACGGACTGAATGTTGTGGTATATGTAAAGCATTGTAAATCTCATTTTTATTAAGCTGATTACCATGTTGTACAACTTTTTCATGTGACATAACATTTGTATGGCATTCTTTATCGATGATATATACTGTTGGAACACTCCTTTGTTCTAGTAGAATTAATGCAACATCCTCATCGTCCTTGATAATTCAACGTGATAGCTCTTCGAGTATACTGATCAATGCATATAACTCAATCTTGTGAATTTCTGAGTTCACCCCAACAACATCTTCAACCAGCTTTATTAAGCCCACAAATGACAAATCACTCCTAACCCTCCGCATTCATGACTTACTACCCTTGTAAATGCTATCCACCCACTGACCACCATGTCTTATCACAAGTCGCACAATTGGAACCCTATTGAAATTATGAAAATCAAAATTTTTTTTGTCATTTTACACATTACATGTTGTGTTTTAAAATTTGTCAGTCATGTTGTTACACTCCATGTTCAAAAAATATTATACACCATGTTCAAAAAATGTTACACGCCATGTTCACAACATGTTACACACCATGTTTAATAAAAATGTTACATGCCATTTGCTAACACATGTTATTTCAATATATTTTTTACTCACCATGTGCATTGGAGATGCATAACGTGCAACAACTCTTGGCAATGTTTCTAATCCATGTTCTAATTTACACAAAAAATTTAAAAAATTAATGTGTTGCACCAATAAACCCAATAACATACCTTGATATCATCTCTGCTTTAAGGACTGTTTCTTGATGACGATATGATCAGATGCCGAGAGATAGACCATAGCACAATGACAATGATGCTTAATAGAAAGTTGACAGAGTTGACACAGTTCAAAGAGCTAAGAGAGCAAATGACAATGGTGCTCAACAAAGAGTTGACAGTGTTGATACAATTTAGGTAGCTGAGAGATTTGAGCGAGCTGAAATAGTTAAGCATTTATTTTCTTTATGGTGAAAGGGAGGTATTAGGAGATTAATTTGCTAGGATGTTTTAAGGGCATTTTTGTCTACTCATGCTTGTTTTTAGGTAAAAAGAGATAATTTTATATATGTGGCTATTTCTGAAATCACTTTATGAGGTGAGATATTTTTCACAATTTCCTTACCATTTAATTCTAACATAAGGTAAATTTATTTTATCAAGCCTAAAGATACCTCTTAATTTGCCAGCTTCAGCTTGTAACACCCTCAGTCCATCATGCAAATACCCTTGATTGGAAAGGAAGTTTGCAGCTTGGTTGGCTTCACGATGGTTATAAGTAATTCTAAACGGGAAATGAAAGAGATTTTGTATACAAGTTAACACATATCTGTTGTCTTGGGAGCCTAAGTTGTTATTTCGTATCGTATTCACTACTACCAGTGCATCCATTTCAATCCATATTCTATAGAAATTGTATTTTTGGCATAAAGATAATCTTGTTTTTAAAGTGAGGAGTTGTGTGTGCAAAGATTTCTATGGGCCAAAATTTTCAGAAAAACCAAAAAGACGTTTACCTATATGGTCTTGAACAACTCCTCCACTTGCAACGTGTTAGGCATTTTTAGAGCTCCCATCCACATTTAGCTTGATTTCATTTATAATGGTTTTAACCATTTAATTATTTTGGGCGGTATAGATGGTGGATGTGGAAAACTGATTTTCCACAACTCGACAATGTTCACATCACCTCTCCATTGCTCCCTATGCATAAGATTTCAGTTATAAAGCAGCATTAAAAGTGTTATTATGCACCAAATTACACTCCTAAATTCCTATGCTTAGCATCATTTCTTTCAACCCATAGGAACCAACATATAAATGTAGGAAGCAACGCACGAATGTGGCCTGGCTTTGTATAGTCTCCTGAATAATACCAAGCCTAAATTATCTGCAAAATATTCTATGGAAGGTTAACAGAAATGTGAAAAAATTGAGAAAAACAATCCCAAACCTATCTCGCCACTAGACTATGCCAAAGCACATGTACTAAGGTTTTGTTCAAGTTGGAACACTAACATTTAAAAGCTAACTGAAATCCCTTGTCCTTCATATGGATACCAACAGGAATCCATCTGTGAAGCACTCTCCAAAGGAAAAAGGACACTATGAGCAGTATGCTTTTATGCCAGATTAATGTGAAAGCTAGGCTAACAGTTTGCTGTGGCGAATATTCTCCCAAGCACTTTTAGTATTAAACTCACCATTAGAGCAAAGGACCCAAAATGCAGTGTCATCATTGGATCTTTCAATCGAGATATCCTCTATATGTTCAACCATAAATTCTGGAAGCACTGCTTTAAGTTTGTGTACATCCCATACCTCATCCGCATAAAAATAATCCACTTTAACCATAGAATCGTCAAAGGAAGGAAAAGAACTCAGCAAGGATTGTACACCCCATCCAGCAGTCATGCCAAGAAAATAAATCACCTTTCCTCACTTTCCAACGAATATCTTTTTTTGCCATTCGGCAACCACTCAATAATCTCTTCCAAATGGGAGAATCATTGGGACTTTTACCACAAGAATATTTATTTTTCAAAAATCTAACCCATAAACTATTAGCAGTGTGAAACCGCCACCAAAGTTTCATAGCAAAGGCATTAAAAACATCCATTAAGTTGCGAATATCCAAACCCTCCTCACTACTGGGATAGCAAACTTTCTTCCAAGTAATCCAATAGACGTGTCTAGTAGAATTAGAATCCCCCAAAGAAAACTGTTAAAAATCCTCTTAATTTTTTCACCAACACAAAGCGAGGGTTGGAGTACATGAAGCAAATACAACGACATAGAGGAGAGCACGCTCCTAATTAATGTAATCCACCCTCCTATTGACCTAGGAATGTGTGCTCTAATTTTAGTAATGATTTGGTCAAATAAAATTGATTTTTTCTGCCCCTTATACAACGATGCTCACAAATAAATTATTGGTAACTTTTTGTGTGCAAAACTCATATAATGTAAAATATAGATCTTTATATTTTTCAAAATATTTATGTTATATAATCACTATTTAAAAATAAATAAAAATAAACATTCACATATAATGTAAAATATGGATCTTTTAACACAAATATCATACCACAAGCAGACAACATATCAATTTAAGCACATAACACATTTTTATTTCCTAGTAGTGGTATTCACGAAAAAGTAAGCAATTTTATATTACCTATACACACAAACATTTTTATTTCTCAACAGTAATAGTGTTTGGTATGAGAGAAGTGAAAACACATTTCTTACAATGTGTTCAATTAAATTACATTACAGTATTTATTTTGTAATAAATTACTGCAATGTAAGATTGCAATGTAATCACATTACAGTCAATGGATGTAATGTGATTGTAGTTCAAAATTAATACAATTACATTACATTGCACTCTGCAATGTTATTAAAAACATTTTTACCATTTAATTTTATTACTTTGTTAAAAATATTTTTGTAATGTTATAATTAAAATAAAATATATAATATAAAAATTTAAAATTAAAATAAAATATAAAAAATTAAAATTATGTTAGAGAAATTAAAATAAAATATATAATATTATAATAAAAAATAAAAATAAAATATAAGATATTAAAAATATATTTAAGAGATGATATTATACAAAAATTAAATGATATTATATAAAAATTAACAATAAAAAATACTAATATATTAAACTTGTATTCTAATAAATAAGAGTAATTTTGAAAATTAACATTACATTCTTAGTAAAGTATTTGTAAACTAAATGTTGCAATGTTATCTTCCGTACATTTTAACCATTATTTTGTTTGTATACCAAATATTGTAAAGTTATTTTCTCTACAATCATATTACTTGCGATCACATTACCTATAATCACATTGCATTGTATAGTAGCAAAGGCCATCTAAAGTTATAAGTTAACATCCAACCACTACACTTTCATAAACTCAAAAGTTGAAATTTGCCAAATTAAGATAGGTTGGTTCATCGCCTGAGACTTGTATAATAGAATCTGACATGGCTCTTGCACAGTTTTGACATTCTGTGGATTGCCTCTTGTTTTGTTCCATGTCAGTGCATGAAGCCTATGCATATGCATGCACAGATTTGATGCATACCTTCTGTGCTAGCGTTGCGTGTTACAAAAGGATTAATTATACTTTGTATTTGTTAGTTCTTACTGCAGTTTATGTAATACATTTTCAAGTCACTGAATTTCAAGCTTTCTTCGTGCCCTTTTCTTAGTTGTTCCTGAGTAAACTGACTGACTAAAAGCAATTGTCCCAAAAATACCCTTGAGACAATTGTTGCTGCTAATTATAATATGTTGGCGGTGGAACCTTGTACAGTTATGGGGGATACTGACTGTGTTAGTATGAATTATCTCAGAATCTCAAAAATTGGTTATAGATTTCCTTACTTTGAAAACCTAGATGAATTACTAGGGTAACTCTGAGATAATCTCACTTAGAGATTAACATATATATATATATATATATATATATATGCTATAAATTCCAAAATACTTTTGACAAGATACTGAATCTCTTGCATGATCTAAATGATAATAAGTTGCAAATGAACTAGTATAGCAGATATCTTTGTCTTCCCACCGGAGCTATTGCGCTTCATTAGCTTTTCCTAAAAACTTTCCCCCTTACTGGTGATTTTATCAACAGCATTCATGTATAAGATCCTCACAAAACACAATCATTGTTGCTTAAACAGGGAAGAGAAAACAGAACAAGAAGATAAATTGGAAGATCAAGACAACTAAATCCAAGACTGCCTATTAAGTTTAAGATTTTCCTAAAATATATGCAAAATTTGGAAACTAGAACAACTACCATTTCAGATCTATATGCAATGATTGCAAGAATTTGAATATCAATATTTTACACACAAGTCAGAGTCAACTTCCCTAATCTTAGAAGAGTTTGATTTCCAGCTCGGATTTCTCTAATAGTCCGTTCGACAGTAATCTAACATTCTTCACTTGTATGAGGGGGTAGGCAGAGTGGTCATGTTTTTAATCCAATCAGCAAGATATTGCGTAGCTTCACAATTTCTTTGCGCTTTAATGACCCCTTCGTTTCCTGCAGTTGCTGCTAGAAATGATTCCCAATACCATTCCCTGTTGTTATCAATGTCCTTCAAAGAAAAAGTTGGTAACACTCTAAGATTCTAATGCAAAATGGCCACCAAGCTTCTGTAGTTCTGCAAATGAAAATGCCACCTGACATTAAGAAAATCGAAATCCATAAATTAGATCCATCAAACTAGCAAATTCTTCTCAAAACTTTAAATTTGATGTTCAATGATCAGAATTGGTTACATATATTAAACCTATTCAATGACTATATTCATTCAAATCAAAGATGATCCAAACATATTCCATTCAATCCCATAAAGAGTAATTATAATTTGTTTCATTCTAGGTCTCCACATCAAATACTGAGGCAAAAGAAATTAAGGGCCAAACTAAATTTATTTAGATTAGCTGGCAGAAACGTTATTGTTTCTGAGTCTTAAAAGAATTAGCTGCCAAAACTATTGCTTCCAAAGACTAATTTATCTACAACAGTGGAGCCAAAGAAAGAAATCAAATTCTAGATCTGTTTCATGGGTTATAAACAGAATCCAAATGTCTGTGAACTTATTGTGACATTTCAGGTAGGAGCAAATTATATGTTGTTTGCTTAGGATTGAATGCAAAACATATGGCATGTGCATCCTCATTCCTCATTATCCTAGCAATCAATACATGATCTCTTATGGACCATGTTCAGAATTCACAATTAGGGAGTGAATTAGGCTAAAAGGAACCGTTATTAGAAAAGATAGCATGGTGTGCATTAAAATGCCATAAGAAAATTATTAAAACATGACAACCAGAATTCAAGTAAGTAACCACACTAAGAATGCTTGAATACCTGCTTCTCCATGAGCAAAGCAACACGCCTTTCCATATGGGCAGCCTCCAGTCATCTTCCAGTTATTGCATAGCTTAGTCTTCCAGGATGTTGGCTTAGGAACCACCTCATTACCAACATTCAAAGAACCAACAGAACCCTTGCAATCCAATTCTCCAGACCCTCTATTTTGATAGACTGGAGCAGCACCAGGCACAATGTTTATCATGGAAATGTCCCGAAATTCATCAGGAATTACATGAAGAAATCGACACCTATCCCCATAACTACAATTTCTCCCAGTACAGAACATTCTACAAAGTTTTTTTGAGTCATCAGCAAACTCTTTCCACTTGGGCCCACATTGCCTGGCCTTAAAACAACCACTGGCTACTTCTTTCATTGCGACAGGGATACTTGGATTGGGGACAAAATTTTCACAAATTCTACGTTTCTTGAATGAAGGGTATTCAATGAGAGAGGAGGTTTCGTGGTCTTTACCCTGAATTGGATGTTGAGGCTGCCATTGAAGCATGGGTTTGTTGGCATCTCTGGAAATGTTCATGCTGTAATTTGATAACATGAAACCAACTCTGTTTCAATGTCCGATTTGTATAACTTTTGTTTTGAGTGGTAAGAGATATCAAGATCCCAAATGGAAGACAACAAACAAACCCCACAAAATCAACCCATGGCTTTGATATTGGAGTTCAACCACCAAAAGAATTTAAAAGCCTGAAACCACACCAAAACCTAACCCTTGCAAGAAGAAGCGTTTTGAGACTTTGAGCATTAAATGATCATTTGGAGACTCATGAAAAATGACACTCCAAGGCTATTTTTGTTCTCGTTTTTTTCTCCCTTCAGAAAGAGAAAAATGAGGGATTTTAACCTTTTCTTTTTCCTTTAATGATAACTTGATATTTTTTTCAGAATTTATGGGAATAGAATCTAATAATCATCATTATTCCATATATTAATTGAACAAATTCATATCAAATTGAACAATATAATGAACTTATAAGGCCTAGAACCGAAATTTTAACAAATTCATAAAAGTTCTGTTTTTCATTCTAAAAGTTATCAAATGCCTTAGGTTAAAGAAATCTCTTTGGAATAAGTTTTCACTTTTTAAAAAGATTTACTTTACGTGTTGCACATGAATTATTTAACACCTAATATAATATTTGTTTATGTAAAATTTTTAATTTTTTTTAATAATAAAAATTATAGATAAATAGTAATTTATAACGTATATAATATAGATATTGTGCAGATAATTAGTGTATGAAATAATTAAACCAAATTCAGTTTCTTTAATCTTGATAATATTCTTTTAAGGTCACGTTTACTTATATGGTTTAATGTTTTAGGAAGGGGATTTAGCATATTATACTTTTTCTTTTAATATGAGTTTCAAATTTTCAATGATTTGAGACAATTTATAATCTTTTATGAAAACAATTTATAATTGAAGTAATAATTAAGAGCAATATGATTGTTATGCTTTAAATTATTGGGAAGGTATCAATCAAATACAATCTTTGGCCACTAGACTGGCCTTGTAAGTATGTACACTGTCCTTCTCTTGAACCCAATCATTCTCCATGTTCTTCACACCCTCTTTCTCTTGTCTCTTTCTAGTTTGTCCTACACAAACTTAACAAACCCAAACACCATCTCAGATTTCTCACTCTCTCTCCTTCTCAAACATCGAAAACCCAAACCCAAACCCAAACCCAAACCCATCTCACCACATCCTCAAATTTCAGCAACATCATCATTTTCTTTTTCAATTCTGTTAATTAATTGAGATATTTCAGTCAGAATTGTCAAATTTGTGGATATTTTGTTTGTTAGCGGTTCACTGATAGTTGCAATGGATGGTGGCATTGATAATTGCTACCAGTCAAGACAACTAACATGCCACCTAGTAAGAACAAACATGTTGACTGGCAAATTCAACAGAAGCAAATTCAGACACAAAATACTGCTAAGACTACACATACTCAATACAGAAATCTCATCAACTAAAATGAGTAACAATTTCTACTTTCTTCTTACTAAAACAAACAACATTACAACATCTTCTCCATGTATTTATTGAATGCTAAAGTTTTTACTCGAAAGAATTATAAGACAGCTGCTGTACGCTTTGCATATCATCTACTTACAAAATTTCCTGAGTAATAACGTTCAAAACATCAAACTGTTTAAAGTATCATCTTCCCTAAATGTGGCCAACAATGACATAATTTCATCATCAACAGCAATGTCAGGAGACTCCAAGAACTCAAGATCATCATTGGCAATAGCCACTGGAGAATAATCTTCACTTTGGCCAGCAGACAGCATTGCTGAAATACTATCATCAACTAAAACTTGAGAAGCCTCCATGGGTGTGAGAGACTTGTCTGCATCAAGAACCACTGAAGGAGAAGCTGCAAAATGACTTGATTCAGCTGGTGATCCAAGGCATTGGCTCTGAGGAAAACAGGGGCTAGCAGCACCAGTGAAGGTTGGTGTAGGCAAGTCCGTGGAATTAGAGACCTCCTTAATAACTTCCTCATCATCGGTCCAGTCCTCCTCTCTAAATGGTGCTCCATATTGGGCACCGTTTCTGTGGCCTGGACCATCCTTACAGAAGATAACACAAAGAACGTAAGCATCCTGTACAACTCCCTTGTCAAGTAGATGTTCATCTTCCAGTCTGTATTCGTGCAGAACCCAATCTGTTCGCTCTCCTCGTGGGGCTTTCCCTCTGTGGAAGACCAAAGTTTTAATACTCCCCACGACTTTGTCATTGTAACGAACAGGTCTGTCTTTCCCAGTGGTCTTCCAATACCCATAGGCAGTGGCACGATTGAACCTACTCCCTTTTCCATATTTCTTCTCCATTGGACAGAAAAAGTACCACTTGAGATCCCCAATCCTTAGAAGAGACTTGTCTGGCAGATCCCAAGGAGCATACTTATATATGTCAACCTCGGCAATAGCTTCAAAAGAAAACTTCTTCCCCAAAACCTTCCTCTTCAGATAGTATTGGAGAAGCTCAACGTCGGTAGGATGAAACCGAAATCCGGGAGCCAGTGAATTTTTCTCCATTGAACAAAGGATATATGTCCCACAGTGACCAATGACGATGATATGTACTCTCGAGTAGTGAATAAACCCTGTTTGGAACGTATCAGAACAACTCAGTATCAAACAAGAAAGGAAGCTTAAACAAAACCCCCAAGTGGTAGGAAAGAAAATGAGAGCTGAAACAGACCAAGAAACCAACAATCGAAACAAATAAATCCCTAAATTCAAAATCAAGAAACCCGAAGAATCAGACCGACAATGAAGAAATTGCGAAGTAGAAACAGCAAGTGAAGAAGACAACTTACCAAAAGAGAAAAAGGCAATTGAGGAGCGAAACTGAGGAATAGAAATTGAGAGAGTGAGCTGAAAATTAGAGTTAGAAGAAAGGAAGAAGACTCCCTCTCGTTTATAAACGCGCCAACCATTAACCGCCTTATGGAACTAGCCGTTGCACGTTATTTTTCCTTTTTTTTTTTAAATTTTAACTTTTAAGCCTTAAGAAATTTAATTATTCAATTAATGACATTTTAGTAATTTAATAATTAGTAAATTTATGAAACGATTCTATTCTATTTTTGTAAGAAATAAGTCCATAAAACAACCCATTAAATTGGCTAAGTTTCTCTCTTTTTCATTTTTCCCCTTCTTCTCCGTTTATGAAACGATTTTGTTCTATTTCTTAATAGGATAACCTATAATTTATCTACATCTGCTTCCCCAAAATCCAAAAAAAAAAAAAAGAAAAAACCTACCTATAATTTATAATATATATAATTACAAGATGTTGCAAAAAAAAAATTATTAACAAAAGTAATCGTATTTTTTCATTAAATTTTTAAAATTTTCATTTTAAACATTTTTGTCATTAATATTATTAAAATTTATCTAATTCTTAAAAATATATAACTCTGCTTAAATCAAATGACTTTCATTGAAATATTTTTTATTATAAATATGAATCAAACTTATCTAATTTTGTAAAGAAGAATTTTAATTATATTAAATGAATTTCATTATTAGGTCTAATATTATTAAATAATTTATATTATTGTAAATTACCTTTTATTTATAAAAAATTAAATTTATATCTTTATCTAAAATTATTATTCAAAAATAAATAAAAAATAAATAGTTATGTTTAATAAATACTAGCAATATAGGTCTTTTACCACAAATATCGCGCCAACAGGCCACACCATGTCATTTTAAGCACATAACACATTTTTGCTTCCCAGCAATGGTATTCACTGTAAAGCAAGCAATTTCTTATTACCTATAATATATCATACGTACAAACAATACAAGTCCTAAGTTAAAATCCAACCACTGCACTGTCATGAATTCAAAAGTGGAAATTCGTTGAGGATAGGTTGCTTCAATCGATTACTTTGTTCACCTCAAACATTTCAACCGATTAATTCGTTCGTCTCGAAAATAAGAGATCTTGGATTCAAACACCTGCAACCTGCAGCCCCTTGTTAGTGCTATCCAAAATGTAAGCTAAGTGGAAAAACTGCACAACTGCACCTCAACCTGGAGATTGGACTAGTCTATCTGCCGTCGAAATTTTTTAAAAAAACCAAAAAAAAAATACAGTGAAAATCCAGAAGTAGATTCTCAAAGATGTTCACGAGTTGCAATTTCCAATTACTTCGAAGAAGCAGTTCCAAGAATATGAATTTTCATCAACACTAAATTTGCATAGAAGCCTCATGTTCTGCAATGCCGGAGGCATGTGTATTCATTCCAGTAATAATGGTTAATAACACAGAGCATACATCTGTCTCAAACTATAAGCACAACCATAACATCTACTGGAGCTTCTTTATCCCGGGGAAAGAAGGGAGAAGTGCAATAAGTGCGTCACCATATCCTACTGGATCTGTCACGTTAAGCAAAACAAATAAGAGTAAACAAATGACCAGGTGATACTGCAAAACATCACAAACTGAAAATTACCGAAAGAAGACCAGACATACCACCATCCTCTCTTAGAATTTTGGTGACCTCCCCAGATACGTCAGACTGGTAAAGGAACTGATTAGAATGAGAAAATAAAATCTAGATTGTTTGATCATATAAACGTAAGTGAATAGTAAGTACCAAGACACTACCAGGGTGAAATCAACCCTCATTTCCACCGGTCAACATACAATGACACAAAATAATTCCACATAAAGACGAGATTCATACCTCAATTGGAATTTCACCACCTAGTTGTTCAATGTAGCAAAGCACTTGGCCCTCCTTCACTGTTTGTTTCTGTTGCATAACAAAAATGTTACCAGCAGGGAATGATCGGTTTGTTATGGAAACCAAATCAGAATATCTTAACAGAACCTCAAAACATATGGAAAACAAAACAGCATTTGAGAGTACAAGGGAACCAATGGTATACAATAGGCTTCATAATCAACGGTTTCACGTATGTTTGTCTGTTGAAGATCAGACTTTGAAAAAACAAAGAAACAGTAAAACCTCTTGAATGCTATTGCCCAATTGAAAAACAGTGTCTCTCAGTAATGGTGATCAAAGCAATCTATTATTTTGGTACCTCATTACATGATGGCGGAGCACGCTTCCCCTTGATGGTTCGAGATCTCCTGAAAAAACCGACCTGCACAATTTATCATCTTAGTGCTACGAGTTCAAACAAAGAGAAGCATTTAAATTTCAGGTCCTCACCTTTGGAGACTGAAGTATCACCAAGCCTTCATCGGCAGCTTTATCAAGTAACAATTGGATTCTCCCAGAAGACGATAGTGGTTTGGTGATAGCTAAAGTAGGTGTAGAAACAGACCCATTTGAGTCAGGTGCTTCAACAGTTTTACTGGTGCTAACACTGACAGGAGGGGGACTTGGTATGGCAGGTGGAGGTTCGCTTTTTTCAGCTAAGTCCCTCATTATATATAGCCGGAATCCACCAAGCTAAAAAATGGAGAAAAAGAAGAAGGCTTACAATTTTAATAATGCAGACAAGATAACATCTGCAATCCCTTAAAATACAGAACTAAATAATGCAAATAGAAAAACTATTCAAGTTATCGAAAACTTTACAGCACAAGAATTCAAAGTCACTTACTTTTAGTTCAAACTCTGCAACTGAAGTCGTATCGCATATATCTCTTACGAGAGATTCCACCTGCAGTTAGAAATTGAAACAACAAACTTCTAAGAAATAAGCTAAAAGTATGTTTGTTCATATATCTATTAGAAGAAGTCCCCATGCAGGCAATATTCACATATTTATAAAAATTTCAAAATTAAGAGTACATAAAAAAAAAACAAATCAATTGCTCCATTTTCTCCAATTTCTATCTAAAGTTTGTTCACAGCTGTTTAAAACATAGTTAAACAGCTATGCGGGAATTAGTTCATCAACTAACCAGTAAACTTCAAAGATCTATGGGACAAAGAATTCTTATTTTAATGGCAAAAAGACATAGCAATGATAAATTTTGTGTAAAATATGTGCTTGCATTAATGATTTAAACAAACAATTATATGAACTCACCCCAGATGAATTTGGAATGAGCTGGCTAATCAAACCAGACATTTTACTCTCTTCGGAATCATCTGCTAAATTTGTAGTAGCTGCAAGTCAGAAACCAAAAAGATTTAGATATAAGCTATGGATTGACATAAACAAATAAGACTCTGCTCCTAATCTTCAGCTTTCATGCATTATATATAAAATGAAATCAAAGCAAGAAATTGCATACAATCACATTCTCAATAACCCATTTCAGTTTAATATTAAACTCAAAAGTAAAAACAGAGATGATGGCAAAACTTCAAATATTCAAATTTACAAGACTTTAGTCAATGGGGTATTTCCTTTCCAAGTTTGACCATTGGTTACCCTGAGATAAGCCAGCAAATAAAGTGAAAAATAACCAGAAACAATCTGGAAAAGATATTTTCTCCCAATGAGTAGCATGTGCATCAACCTTAAAGAAAATGGATTATGCAGTTGAGAGGTAAAGAGATTGCACCATTAGATGAAACTATTACTAGGACAAACATGCTTCAACAGTTACAAGGGGTTTTTCTTTCCCTCCTTACCCCAGGGTATTCCATTTCCTACTTCTATTTTTCTCCCAGATCCTCACAGCATAGTGACAGTTGAGAGATTTATAATGTCCATAATGAAGTGAGACTGACTCCAAATTGCAGAGACACTAGAGACTGATCCCTATTTCAACAAATTTGAGTGGAAAATAGAACCAAAAAAAAGAGATGAATTGAATATTATCAACTTGAGCCATAGAGACTGTTATTCAATCGCAGTATTCAGCTCAAACGTAAATAAACTAAAAACTACTTTTATAATGTACTACTGCACTGTGTGAGTGTGTGTATCCATTTGTTAGAGACATGCACACACTACTGTGCATAAGTAGATAAATATGCGAGTTATGTACCAAAGAAATATCAAAAACTTGAAGGAAAGATTAGTCTATGAAGCAATCTAAGGGTAAAAGTTGACTAAATCTGAAATGAGCAGAAGAATATAGAATATGTCTTCATGAGACTGCTATAATATGAAATATATTTCTTTAAGAATCAGAAGAACTGTTATTGTGGACACAATAGTTCGTTGTCTCAACTCACTATACCACAATAACTTACTGCACAATGCATAAAGTAGATCACGCACATATGACTGTATTTATCCCTTGACATTGATATGTAATAAGTGAGCTTGACTGGATAATTGACTGGGAATAAGAAAATTAAAAAGTGAGTTGTACCAGCAAAAAGTACTTACCCTGGGTTTGCAAAGTTGGACCACAACCAATGCTGAATGCCTTTTCTGAGCGTCTAACCAGGGCAGTATATTGCAGTGGTCTTTGCCTTATCCATATTCTTACATTATTCAGTTTTAAATTATCAACTCTTGCTTTTCCAAAGCTCAGTTTTGGAACTTTAATGCTTGGAGCTCCTATGCTACCTGAAGTAAGAGAAAGTTACCCATGACTAAGGCACATTATCTCAAACACACACACACATTCCTAAATTGATGATAAAATGATTAATTGCTTAAAAACTTTATTGAGTCTTTCTTTCTTTTTGAAAAGCTGTGTCAAAAACTTTATTGACTCTATGGGAAAGAAATCAAAGCAATCATGTCAGATTAACAATGAGTCCAAAACAAAGTTCTGGAATTTAAGAATATGAATGCACACTTTAAAATCACTATTCAACAACATGAAAACGAAAAAGAGAAGTACAAGGATAAAAAAGCATTATAATAATTTTTCAAATTCTCTCCTACAATAATCAATATACTAACTTTTCATTTTCCAAAATGTTAAAGACAGATACACCAATGATGAATAAAGTATGAAGCATCTATCATGTATGAGGCATTTCTAAGGACTGATCTATGAGTTACATCTCAATGCAAAGAATGAAAGGCACCAGGTTTTACATGCAACACATCTAATGGCACTGTATGGTTTGCATTTTGTAATGCAAGTATAGATAAATTACAATACTGCAACCAATTTCATAGTTTTATCTGTCAATATGTGATGGCGGAACAGAAACTATTGAACATGTTGGGTTCTCCCTGACTGGGGTGTGCACATCAGAATCAAAGTACAAAAGTAAAAATAGACAGGCTTCTCCTCACTGCATAAGAGTATGAATCAATTTTTATTCCCTACAACTGATGGAAGATGCTAATTCGAGTCTTACAACAGTGCATGCATCACAAGATGCATGTGAGAAAAAACCCTCAAAAGAGACAAGAAAGACCATAGAAATTAGAAGCTTTACATTTGCCCCAAAAGTTCAGCCAACAGAATATGGTAGATGAACTCAGCTTCTGTAAATGTCTAATGTTATTGCTATGATAAATTTTACCATCTAATGTATCTACATACTGCATCAGAAGAGAATAATTGGATTGACCTTCTCTACAACAAAAAGTTACTTGACATTTATAGTGTATAAAAAGAGAAAAAAGAAAAAGAAAAGACAAGTGGATACACATATGTTAGTCTTTTCAATAAAACTTAGACATGGGTTATAAATTTAATGAAATTGGCAAGAAAAGATTACATTAAATGTTATCTCACTGATATCAAGAATGAAACAGCAACACCATAAATTATACACCAGACAAAACCACAAGTGAAATCATAACTTTTAAAAAAGTTCTAAAGCTAGCTACACCACCAAGGATGAGAACACTGTTCCATCCAAATTATGCATTAACACTATTTTATAAGAATAATCTTACAGAATGCACCAACTATGTTTACCTAAGCAAGTCTTTTGTTTAGTAAGTTTTGGGGTTTTTTCCTTTTAAAGAGAGTCTAGAATAAGTAACAGCCAGAATTCCAATAATCATACTAAACCAGAGGCAAAGTGAAGATTTCGTAATCAGAGCCAAATAAACAAGTTTGACACTAATATGCATGCTAAAATCACAAAATCCAATTCAGATGACAATCAATATTGAATTTTGACAATATGAGGAACCAACAGGGAAAGCACAATTGACAACACACTAAAAATCACAATGCTTATGCATTTAAGGAACAAAACCATATTCCAAGGTATCCCAGTCTCTCAACAAAACAAAAAACAAACATACCAAATAAGTGAAATAACCCTTCCCCCTCTATGCAACTAATTCAAGAACCAAGCCACGAAACAAAGTAAAATCTAGCGTCTTTACACACCCAAACTTCAAAATAACCAAAAACCCATACAAAATCTTAACCTACTTAACCGCAAAAATCACATAGACAGTTAGAAAGAGAAAGTGAGATACTCACACGAAGCCATGGAAAAGCACTGAATATTTTCTTTTCTTTCCGAGGACCGAATAGATGAACTTTGAAGAATATGAAGAACACCCAGGAAAGAGTGGAAGAGAAAAGCAAATGGAAAAACGCGTGGGTAAATGGGAATGGCCTGTCAAACGTTAAACCCCATGAAGGATATTTCAGCAGCACGTTTCCAGAGTAACTAAAACAGAACAGCAGAGACCACTAGAACCAGAAACAGTGAGACACCCGTTACCAGACTTCCTTGGCAGCTCCACTTAGCCAAAAGACGTGAATAAAGCCAAGTACATAGTCACACAGCTGGAAATTGTTTTTTTTTTATTAGAAGAAAATTGGACATTTTTCTTTTTTGGAAAAATTATTATATTATTTATAAAATTTAGATAAAAATACATATATATTTATATATAAAATGATGCTATATGTTAAAAAATATAATTACTCTTTCAGAGATATAAAAGGGATTTTTCAAACGAATAAGATAAAACATATTTGAAAGAGCTTTTTGTATTTTAGCTTTGATTTCTTTTATGTTTCTAAGTTTATGATAAAATATGGGAAGGGTCCAAAAAATTCCTTTATAGTCTTTATATGATGACGGGTTTAACTAAAAAATTGGACAGCATTTTCTTCCACCATCCTATTGGCCCATGCCAACAGAATAAAAAAAAAAAGAATTTAATGAAAGTCATATAATGTAATTAAAATTCTTATTTACAAAGTGAATAAATTTTATTAATATTTATATTTAAAAATAATTTTAATGAATATCATTCTATACATTTAGAATTTTTATATATTTACGAATAAAATAAATTTTATTAGAACTTATAATAAAAAATTATTAAAATAATCATTTAAAAATATAATGAACAGATATGATCATCTTCATTAAGAATCATACTTTTATATTATATATAAATTATTAGATAATAAGTTAAACCATAATAATTTTTTTGAAAATTACTTACCATTACCATTAATTTTTGTGTTCCTTACAAGTAATATATGCAAATGCATGACATGATGATAAGTTTTTTAAATGTAATATATATATATATATATATATATATATATATTCAATGTATTTTGAATTATCATTCTTATTTTTAGGACCCATAAATTTCATTTTAAATAATAAAATCTTATTTGGATGGACTTTCACAAATCAAGTTTACAATGACAATGATTGAGTGACAGGTTGCTCTCAATTTGAAAACCATTGGGTAGCTTTGCTTCTTCTTTGGTATTTAATTTTTATTTATAAATAATTGAACCTTCACCAATTAAAAAACTTTTTAATTCAGTTTTTTTATTTATAATTGAGATAAGAATCCTAGAGATGAGATTATTTTTCTTTAAAATTAATATATTTCTGTTTCTAAATGAATACCCTAAAATCACTTATAAACTAAAATCTCATTTATTTATTAGATGTGGATCATGAAATTCTTTATGTATAAATAAACAAATAAAAGCTGTCAAACGTGCAAGTCTCCCGTCGAGGAAGGTTGCCTAAGTCACCTTCCAAGTACGGACAACCCAAGACGAGCCTGGGACAAGTTGAGAGAGTCCTTAGATTATTACTTGAATCATGGGCCTTTTTTATGGTCATTTTGGGACAATGTCTTGTAATCCAATCCATGTTGGCCCAAATACTATCAAAGTAACTGTTTAGCTCTTCATCCAGCCTAAACCAACAAACAAATGTGAACAAAAACAGCAGGAGCAGATACCATTCTGGTTGCTTATCGGTGATCCAATTATTTTTTGCACAAATGAGGAGCAATGGTGAATTTAAGATTTTACATAAAAGAGTAATTATAATAATATAATATATAAAATTTTACGTATATATTAATATAAAAAATTAAAAATTAAGAGGTGACGATCTGTCACTATCCGTGATTATCTTGACTCTTACCTTAAAGACAAAAGAATAACAATTGGCAAATTAAAGTTTTAATTACTGGGTGATCAACCTATAGTAGTATATTCTTGTTTTCATATAATTTAGTTTGCAAATCCATTCAAAATATGTTTTTTTGAAAATCAAGTGGGCAGGTTGTTACTTTGCTGTTGTTGATCCTATTTTTGCAATGTTAGTTTTGAAAGTGTATGTTATTTGTTGTTTCAAGACATCATTAGTGCAAGCTTGGTACCATTTGGTAGCATAAAATACAAACAAACTTAAAATACAAAGATGAAGCAAACAACAATGTTCTCATTCCACACTACTGCTCTCGTTCAAAACTATCATCAGTCAAAAAACATCTCTAGTTTAATTTGACTTATGGGTTGGTGTGTAACCTCTCTATTTAAAGAACAAGAGTTTAAATCTCTCTTCCTCCAAATCTAAAAAAAAAAAAAAATCCTAAAAAAACATTAGCTTTTAGATTAAAATATGCAGGAATGTTACATTCCCTACAGTCTTCCTTAGCCGGTCAATTTCACTAAAACAATAAAAAAATAAATTTTCCAAACTATAAGAAGATAGAGAGAGATTGCACTGAATATTTGGTGAATTTTTCTTCTATCTAAAGAGCAGGGTTTGAATTTCTCCCATCCAATTATTATAAAAAAAAAAAAAGATAGAGAGAGGACATGAAAAACAGTTTTAATTGTCATTAGCTCTACATAATTCGATTCTTGGACATCTAATAATCCTAGACAAAAAAAACATAATACTTATTACAGAACCAGATGAATCTCTCAAAATTCATCCACAACCCGGATATTATATTGATGGTCTTATCTCATGATTTTCTTGGGGATAATGTAATAATAAAAGGGGTAAGGTATACCTGCGTGCCAGCAATTAGGAGAACATCCTGGGCCCAAACTAGCTCCTAAGATTGCCTTGTAAACTAGCCAGAATAGGACATTTGCATATAACATAAAACATAAATGAGGTAACATAAAGATAGCTGGAAAGGAAGACAAGAATCTTTGCTTAAAGCATTGCATATATAAATGTTAGAAGTAACTAGTGTTGAAGTGTTGGAAGAGACGTTCATGAATAGATTGTTGCTTTTGAATCCACGACATGTAAACTTTCTGAGATACTATAGGTCAGTAAAGGGAATCCAATGTAATTTTATGTTTTGAATATACTTGCTTCGCTTTTGCATGATAACAACTCCTAAATACATTAAAAAACTCTCCTATTTTCTTTCTTTTTTTTTATTTAAAAAAGAAATTCAAATTTTACTTTTTGTGTTACTGATTATGCATTAATTATTGAATCAAATATTCAAAAAATTTTATTCTCATATCATATATTAAAAAAAAAAAAAAAGCGTTTTAACGTTTGGCAGCTAGATTAATGAGGAACATCCTAATATTAATGGTAACTATAACTCACCTCCTCAAAATTAATTGTTTTAGGAAATAATTTATTGACAATTAATTTGAGAATACATGCTAGAGATAAACTCTATATATGGAGAATATAGAACATCAAATTGAAAGGCTATAATACCATAAAGTAACACAAAGCTTAAGACATTATAACACATTAATTTTACCTTGAGATTAGCCTTAATAACTTTTAGTAATTAATATAGTATATGTTTGACAGATGATGTGCAATTATGGAAAGTGCAAACATTTACAAGTAGCAATTCCTATCCTTATCCACTGGTTACTCTATATATCATCACATGATACTTTATACTTTTATGTTGGACAACCTTTCAACATGTTTACTAAATTCTCTTTTGCTTAATGATATTTAAAGTTCAATCCTGAAATTGTAGTGCACTTGCATTTAATTTAACCTTTGAAGTCCAACAGGTTTTTGGGCATGTTACACATATAGTAGGAAAACATTTGGGTTGGGGTTCTTATAATTTGCAGAGAAGAATCATTGGAGTTTGATATTGTTCCACATATTCAAACCCCTCTTCCACCATCCTTCCCAAGAAAAGAAAGAATGAAATTGTACAATCAACAATGTACTTTTAAATCTTTGTAATCTATTTATAATCATAATTAGCTTCTCTTTTAGAAAATTATAGTGGAATCACTATATATTGTCCCTCAGGCTTTTCAAAAGCAAATATCTCTTTTAACATTCCTTGAATTTTGACCCCCCAGGGTGGTCCCTTAGTGAAGTTGCGAGTCCATTGATCTTCATATTATTAAACTCTTGTTCCTCACAGCAATGTTTAAAGCACTTTTTGAAACCAATTTTTGAACCAAATTCACCAGTATGAAGCAGCCTTAAAGCCTTAATTTTAGTCGTCCCATCAGCTAATTGTCAGTCGCCATACACAGGAGAGAAATGGGTGAGAGAGAGAGAGAGTCATCTTTTTCTGTTCTTTTTTTTTTTTCTCTGAAGTTCATGCATGCAAATGATTTCCACTAATGGGAAAAAGAGAAGAGAATCATCTTCTTTTAAGAAAGCCACGCACCATTACAATAAACAAACTCTCTAAAAAGCAAAAGACAAATAAACGATACATTGAAAGCATCATCACAAAGTACGACAATATTGCTATAATTCTTATCGGGAAAAAACCAAGACAAAATGCCAAGGGACAAAGCTTCTGGTGATCAGCAAGGGCTTCTACACCATGTTCCTTCACCTGAGGAACTCTAGCACACCCCAAAGGAATATAATGAAGAAAAAGCAGTAAAATTCTCTGATTTCGTCTCTCTCTTAATTGGTTGCAACACCTGCAGGTCATCAAGCCTCATATGTTAATTAGAATTGTAAGCAAAAATTGAAAGAAAAGAATAAAAACCAAAATCCTTGAACGATAAGGTGAAAAAGTGTACCCAAAAATGGATAGCATGCTTTTAATATGAAGATCTATTGCTAAAGTCTCTTGGGGCACTGCATCTGAAGCACTCCATCCGGCTAGCAAAATTGTGCTCATTGCATCCAGACCTGCATTGATCATATTAAGTAGCATTTAATTTTCATAAGAATAAGATAGGACGGGACTCTTTTGCCCTTTTTCCTACTCAGCACTGAGTGGAGAACAAGAGATTCTTAAATGCCTCCTAGCTTCCAAAAGCAGTCAAAAGAAAATCTAGCATGTAAGGAAAGATATACAGTAACAACTAAAGCTTTCAAAGAACAGAATCTGGCTGGCAAAACCAAAAGCAAAGTTGTGTACGGCAAAGCCGGCCATTGTAGCAGAGAGCATAAACATGCCACTGTAGTTGTCTCAGCTAGGTAGCTAGCTAGCAGCTTCTTCTAGTTGATTACAACTGAAATATACAAATATGTTTACACCTATAAAAAGGTCGCAAGAGGTCATCTCCGGCTCGGAACAATGAAGAAAAAAATTAATATTTTTGGATGTCTTGACTTCATATCCTATAAGAAATAAAATAGTCAAACATCGGAAAACAAAAGTGTTAGAAGAATTCACCTGGTGCATATCCAGTCGCCTGATTTCCATCCGGATCGATTACCACCAAATCCTCTTGAACGTGGGATGTCAGAGTCGAAACCTCCAGCAGAGTCATCCTTGAATGCACCACATTTGAAGCAGCTGGAACGGCTAGCGAAATTGTGGGTGCCACAGTTTCCGGCAGTGCAGTACCAGTCACCAGGTCGAACATCGGAGCCGGTGGTGAACCCAAACGAGGAGCCACCCCTCCCACCGTAGCTACCAAAGTCACCTGACCTAGATTCCCCGCAACGTTGGCAGGAGTCCCTCCTCTGGAAGTTGAGGTGCTGGCATGACCTGCAGTTCCAATCTCCTGGCCTGCTCATTGTTTTCTTCTGCTCTAAGAAAAGGATTCCATTCAAACAGGGTGACAAACAGGAACAAACAAAACACAACGTCTCGAAAACATGAAGATTTTGAAGTTATAAGGATACAAGGAGATACAGAGAAAACTAACCTTAAGTAGAATAATGCAAAGATGATGACTTCAATGATATAATCAGGAGGTTGTAGTAGAAGGAATCCTTGAAGGAATGACTCAAAGAGGGGCTCTTTATATACATGTTAGACCACAGAAAAAGGAATAAATGGAGGAATGTGTATGTACTTTTTCGTGTGCTTCACATTTAGCCTTGATAAGTGGAATAATTGTTAAAGGAAGAAAGGAGATAAAGGAAAATTCTGGCTATGATTCCAAAGACAGGAAATTTTGAATAAATGCTTTGGCTTGGGTTTCCTTTTTAGGGTTTGGGAATATTGCTAATTAAGTGTAGTGCATACACATATTCGGTCTCTTGCATAAATCTGGATAGAAACAATTTAGCTCTCTCTTTTTTTTAAAATTTTAATACTATATGTTTTCGCTGCCCAAAGCAAATTTCTTTGTGACATTAAAGTGAGTGATTCTACACAATTTTCCATTTAATGCCCTTGTGAACTTTACTGTGTGGTTAAATAAATCATTTCATATGCTACACTTTCCAATTGAAGTATAGCATATTTATATGAGAAAGACTACTATTTATTTTTTTTTAAAGCATAATATCTAAAAAAGATACTTTAAAAAATTGAAATAAACCTTTATCCTTCGATTATATTCAATCAAATCTTTAAATTTTTATTTTAAATCAAATAGATTTTTATAATTAACGATTGATTAATTGTAAGTTAAAATGTCACTTTGTCACTTTATGCCACATGGTGTGCTGAGCTGTTTTAATAAATAGTGAGTTGACATATCGATATGGTATAATGATATGACCATATGATATTTTCATCTTTCATATCAGCACTACATTAATATTATACAAATATAAAATGATAAATAACATTTTGAGTAATAACAGTTAGTCAATCATTGATCATAATGATCTATTTAGTCTAAAATAAAAGTATAGGAGCTTGATTGGATGAAATAGAAAAATAAAAGTTATTTGGATTTTCTTGAATAGTTGAGAGGTTCGTTGAAATAAGTCTTTATCATTTTATTCTTTCATTACGTCTAATTAAAGTCTTGGACTTTTATTTTGGGTCAAATGGACTCTTATAATTAATAGTTGATTAACTATTGTTAGTTATTGTTAATTAAAATATTACTTGTTATTTTATGTCATGAGGTACTGATGTGCAAGTTGACATATTATAACATATGGTAATGTGGTATACTAATATGGCATGAGGACATGACCATGTGATATTTTTCACTTTCAATATCAATATCACATTAAAGTCACGTGAGCATAAAATAACAGATAACGTTTTAATTAATAATAGTTAATTAACTATTAATTATAAGGACTTATTTGCTCTAAAATAAAAATATAAGAATTTAATTGAATGCAATAAAAGAGTAAGAGCTTTTTTTTTTAATTTTTTTAAATAATTTAAATTTTTTTTAAAACATTATGCTTTTATTTTTAACATAAGTATCAACACTCACAGTCTAAAGGTTACTTAAACCATACCAAAGTGCCTATGGCATGAGATAATGTTAACTTTTATGTATAATCAGCAACAACTATCCAAAGGATCAAAGTAAAACGTTTAGGGATTTAAATTCCAAATCTCTTTGTGCTCTTATTTCCTGCATAGAAAAAAAAATAGACATTGAAGATTAACTTTTTTGAATAAAAATATAGACATTTATAATTGCATCAAACATTCAAGTATCAAAATTTTATGTATTTTTCAATTAGAAAAGATAGAAATTAATATACATAGACACATATTTAAGTACAAATTGTAAATTTAACAATCAAATAATTACAGGAGATGATAGTATTTAAATATAATATGCAATAATTTCCCAAAGTATGTAGGCTTTGAAAGGATTGAGAAATTTAAATACCATGTCTGTAGGCTCTTTCGTTTTGCTCGCATAGCAGTGGTATAGTGCAGTCGTCAAAACACTCAAACTGAAGCGGATGTTGGGGTGGGCAGCAGCCCAACAAAATCAGGATCCCACATAAAGCAAACAGGAGATCCTGTTAGCCTATAAGCACAACATTGCTGATCCAAAACTTCTGTTCAATCAAGTGAACCATGAACCTCACAAAAGGCTCTTTGACCATGGGTATCTGGGACCCTTCTCCTCTAGTGCGGCAGTTGCACAAATTGCAATTTCTTTTGACAGTCAAGAATCCTAGCAAGCATTTCTTGCCATGCAATGAATATTCTCAACATTCAAACCTAGGCAGGGCCACAACTTATCTCAATTATTTTGGTCATGTCTCTTTCAATTTACACTTTGGAGAATCAACAACAGTGGCAGTCACTATATATGAGTAAAATTGTTGCTGCTTTACATATTTGAATATTCTCCCTTTTTTACTTCAGCTCCAATCCAGTAAAGGAATTCCCCTCTAATTTTTCATCAACCCAAACCATTGTTTTCTTTTCTTTTTGTGGGTGCATTTGTGCCTTGATCTTTGAGAAATTCTTTAAAAGAAAACGCCAAAATTGATTTCTAATTAAAGATATTACAGTATAACTCCAATTAGTTATTGTAATCTAGCTAAGTAATAATATTATATTATAACTCTAATTAAATAATTTATATGATTATCTTAACACTCAAAATATAAATCAAATAATTCTCAATCGGAACTTTCATATATCACATGATTGAGGTCAGCATCATAAATTTCTCTTTGCATGCCAAATTCTAAATTTTGTGAACAATCTAGTTTCAATTTTAGTACATAATTCGATGGAAAACATAAACAAATAACATTCCAAAAAAGAAAAAAAAAACATAAGCAAATTAAAAGTTCTTTTTGATGTTTGGGTAATCATAATGTCATTTTCTCTCAACGTTAAGCTTTTAGGACTAGAAATGGAGGGGCTTCCTTTTCTTTTTTTCCATTGTTTCAATGTTTTGGTTTGATGGGGTTATTAAAGAGTTAGCGTTAGTCTTTTGAGTTGCTAATTTTGTTGTGCTGGGTAAAGGGTGTTGCTTTTGTTATTTTCTCAAGATGTTTATCCTTTCCTTTGTATTTTGGGTGTGGGGTTTATGCATTGCCCAGCCCTTCCCTTAAACATATTTAGTTAGATATTATTAGAACATGATATACCATTTTTGCAATTAAATAATCAATAAAAAAAATTTAATCATGTCAAAATAATTGTACAAATTCAGTTATACAGTTAGAATACAATATTATTGGTTGGCTAGTTAACTAGTAAGTCTACAATATTGTTATAACTAGCTAGAGTTAGATTTTGAATATGATTAGCTTATATGTGCATATCATTCTCTTCTATAACAATAAATATAATCTCAAAACTCACATCGACATTACAATGTTCACTCTTTAATACAGGATGAATCCACTCAAGAAAAATCTTGAAAATAACTTATAGACTATGCGTTTGTCTAATCTCACTACATGAAATCCCCTCTTCTTGCATTTGAATTAATAGAGACAAAAAAGGAATGATTTGAAATAAAAATTAAGGTGCATAATTAGGGTTTTCCAAATTGTCACCTTCTCCTAATTTCATTTAATGGCAAGTCACAGCATCATTTGCATCAAGAGAGAAAGATTAGAAAAGGAAGCATCTAAATAGAATACAAAATGGAATCATTTGATATTTTTTAGAGAGAATGGGATTTTCATGGGGAGAGGAACAAAAAAAGAAGAGAAGAAAGGAAAAAAAAAGAAAAGAAAAGAAAGGCAAACCCAAAAGAGAGAAAAAGGAAGGGCAAATGGTGAGTTTCAATAAAGATAGGCTTGAGGCTGATGATGGAATAACAAGTCCTTCGAGGTTTTCATTTTGACCATCTTTTCTTTTCTCTCTTTTCTGCGGCTGCTTTGCTCATTACTATTCCAATATTTTCTATCTCTCTCCCTCTCCCCCAAAACCACTTTTTTCTTCTCTTTTCTCTTCCCTTCAATTCCCTCTCTCTCCATAAGCAAAAGGACATGAAGGAAGAATAAGATCTGGCCTCCATTCTCTTGGAGAACGGTAAAGGAACAAGAGAGCAAACTGTAAAGAAAGAGCAAAGAGAAGTGGGCTGATTCGATTCGCCTCGGTAATCGTTTCCATGCATGACCACGACCAACTCATATTCCCCCTCCTCTTTATTTGTCCCTCACCAATCTTTACATTCTCCTTTACTTTCTCACTCGCACTCCCCCTTTGCTTGTGTTTTTTGTCTGCGTGCGTGTTTATTAGGTAAAAAGAGATATTCTTTACTTGCATATTTCTTTATTTCTTTTTCAAAAAAAAAAAAAATTAGAAACTTTATTATTATTATATGTTGATGATGAGATATTTAAACTTTGACTTTTTAAAGAACAAAATATATATCATATTTTCGTTGAGTTAAATACCCGAATGTATAATATAAAATCTCTTATCCTGTAACCTACCGATCCACTTATCCAAGAGACCACAAACATAAAAATTTCCTTACAATATTTAAGCAAGCAACAAGGTTATTAGCTTCATTTCTTGTTTTTATTGCTTTATTAACATTGAGAAGAAGTTAAGAACACATGGCTAAGAAGGAACCATGTTAATTAGCTTCATATTTTTTTGAATGTTAATTACTAATAAGTGGTCACCCAAACGATTAGAATTTGAGACCTTATTTTAAAAGACTTGAGTTCGGGTTCCGAGTAAGAAAGGTGAATCTTATAGAAAAGGGTAAGACTATCTCCTTTTGTGTAATTAGAGCTACGAATGTACCAACAATTAAGAAGTAGAAACTACTCGTTAACTTATTGTGGAACCAGAATGTGTACATGTATACCACATGGGCCGGGTGGCTTGGGGGCTCACTTGCTTTAGAATGCCACAAGATTAAAGATTTAGTGATCCGTGAGTCCATGACACTGACAATATAAACTGCCACTTGGTCATGCATTTTCAATCAAAAATGATTTCAAACTGTTGTTTTCTTTGTTTTACTTTACTATAATGCTTATTTTCTTCACTTTCTCTTAAGCAGACAAATAGTGATAATTAAATCTACAAAAATAGCTTTTGTAGTTCAGTGCCGACATCGTTGACCTGTTAAGATCATGCATATGACCAATATATATATATATAAATCTGAAAAGGAGGATTTAAATGCACAACCTTAAGGGGTTAGGAAGGGGCCGGGGGGATACGACTAGA